TGCTGCCGCCGGTGACTCCGTCCCGTCCGCCGCGTACACGGTCGACGGGAGAGCAGGTCTCCGAAACCACGCCCTTCTGGTTCTTGTACGGGGTGAGGGGCGAATAGGTTTTTGGGCAGCGATTACGCGACTGCTCGCTTCCGATCGTCTACTTCCTCTACGTCCGCGTCGCCTTCATCATCACCATGTCCACCGACGCCGACCGTGCCGCCGCCGAGAAAGCTGAAGCCGACAAGAAGGTCGCCGAGGACGCCGCTGCTGCCACCAAAGCCGCGGCCTCTGCGTGGCCTACTGGAGGGTATAACTCGTTTATCCCGCTCCTGATTATTTTCATATTAGCAGTACTAGCAGTATGTGTAGATTTGTCTACTGTTTGCTTAGTACGTGCATGTTTAGATCAGAGTCAGTACGTCATCAACTTAGTCAATGCCATGCTAGTGATTTACTCATGGATTAATCTAATCGAGAAATTGCCTATTTACTCAACAAGTTTGACTTCCTCCATGCATCTTTCTTCTCGGCCACCAAATCAATGGAACCTATCAAACTCCTAACTCACAAGATACAATAGCCTTATCAGCATGACCTGCTGTCATGCCATCCTCCTAGCCATCCCGCTGTCTTCTGCGAGCACGCGGATCCTCCTCAATGGTGACCCTGGGCCCCCAATCTGGCACCACCGAGGCTTCCGGCAAGGCGATCCGCTGTCCCCACAACTTTTCGTCCTTGCCGTTGACGTGCTCGGGTGATTGATCAAGTGTGCCGTCTACCTTGGCATCCTGCAGCAGCTGCACCCGCGACACTCGATCCTGGCAATCTCGCTCTACGCGGACGATGTCGTGCTGTTCTGTCACCCCTCACCGGCTGAGATCATCACGGTGAGGGAGATCCTACAGCTGTTTGGCCATGCCTCCAGGCTCCACGTAAACTTCACCAAGAGCTCAGCCACCCTCCTCCACTGCGACCCTGACAAGGCCGCACCTGTTGTACAGCTCCTGGAGTGCCCAATAGTCGACATCCCCCTCACTTATCTGGGCATTCTCCTCACGGTGAGACGCCCTACTGCCGCGCAGCTGCAGCCGCTTGTGGACACGGTGTGAGGACAGCTCCCGTCGTGGAAAGCAGGGCTCATGAACAAGGCTGGACGCCTTGCGGCGGTCAAATCCGTCCTCTGTGTGATCCCCATGCACCCGCTGCTGGTCTTTGCACCACCAAAGAAAACCATCAAGCAGCTCGAGAAGACTGAGAAGGGGGTTCCTGTGGGCTGGGCGCGAGGCTGCCAATGGTGGCAACTGCCATGTTAATTGGCGCCGGACTTGCCGTCCAATTGAGCTGGGAGGCCTTGGCATCCCTGACCTGGAGCGCACCGGGCTGACCCTCCGTCGGTGATGGCTCTGGTTCAGCCGCAATGACTGCAACCAGGCATGGAGCAACTTAGACCTGCGGTTCTCTGCTGAAGAGCGTACTCTGTTCTTCGCCTCCACCTCTATGGCCGTGGGCGATGGACGTACCACCTTATTTTGAGAGGACCGATGGATCGACAGGCGCTCAAGTCAGCAAGATCGCACCACAGCTTTACGCCTGCATCTCGAAACGCTGCCGGAAACTGAGGACCGTCTCTGATGGGCTTCAGGCTAACGCTTGGGCTCACGACATCCATGGCACGCCGGGTGTTCACGATATCGGCCAGTACATCCAGCTCTGGCACGCCGTTGGGCAAACCATCCTGACCACGGAACCCGATCGCCTCCTATGGAAGTGGACTGCGAGCAGATCTTACTCTGCGAAATCCTGCCATCAGGCCACATTCGAGGGTTCTCTGCAAAATCCTGCTACCAGACCACACATTCCAGGCAGCTCCTGGAAGTTCATTTGGAAGAACGGGGCGCCCCCTCGGGTGCGCTTCTTCCACTGGCTCGCTGATCAGCACCAGTGTTGGACTGCTGAGAGCCTCGCACGCTGCGGCCTTCAGCACCACACTTCATGCCTCCTCTGCTGCCAGAGCACCAAGACGATGCACCACCTGCTGCTGTGCTGTCCGTTTCCCAAACAGGTTGGCAGCAGATGCTTCCCGGGCTCTGCATGTCTTGCACGCCGCCAGACCATGATACTTCCCTTCTGGACTGGTAGCACGCTGCAAAACAGCGCACCCCGCATCCCATGCGCAAGGGCCTCGCCTCCATTGCCTTGCTCACACCATGGATGATCTGGAAACACCGTAACGAATGTGTCTTCAAGGGCGCCCAATCTGGACACACTGTAAAGAATGTGTCTTCGAGGGCGCCCAACCTTCAGTCAGCAGCCTTGTTGAGAAGATTAAGGATGAGGCAGCGCTCAAGGCCAAAGCAGGTGCTTCAGGGCTTCGCAACACTCTGCCCCAGACCTGGGATGTACATTAATTTCCTGCATTTCTCACTCCCTGTACCTCTCAGGAGGACTGTAACTTGAACTCTGCCTTTTCAATGAAAAGAAACGCAGAAGTCTCTTTGCATTTTCTCAAAATCAGCATGTCCAAACAGGTCATTAGTTTCAAGCCATGTCCTAGGGTACACATCATGTCGCATTCACTTGCAGCTAAAGTAAGTATCATTAAGCTAAAAGCACTTAAGTCCCAATTGATTGGACAAGGTACCGGATAGCAACAAGACTCTGCACCCACTCTAGCACTGTAGGCATCACGGGATTGAGCTAAAATTGGCAACTAAAAACCAATTTCTCCATGTATATTTCTTTTCAACCACCAAACCAGCAGAACTTATCAAACTCCTAACCCACAAGATAAAATAGCCTAATCAGCATGTCCAAACAGGTCATTAGTTTAAAGCCATGTTCCACGGCACAGATTGCAAACACTTGGAGCTAAAATAAATCCTAGAGCACATAAAGTATTATTGTTCAACCAGCATGATTCATGAAAGCAAGCATGTAGCTACCAGACTCAAGACAACCCCCCAAAATCACATAATGCAAACATCAAGCTAAAGATACAAAACGCACGAAAATCTTTATTGGTTGGCTGAAGTAACATAGCAGCAAGATTTTAGAAATATTAAGTGATCGAATGGTGAAAATGTTAATTACCATAAGTTAAAGTGGGCCCGTTAGTTAATTTTGGGATTAAAACAAATTAACAGTAGCAATTTGCGCCTGTGAATGAGGGGATAATTAAAAATATGGTTCCCATGTCATATACAGCGCTATATATAAAGGAGGGCATTCCTGCACCTATTTGATCGTGGTATCGTTTAGGGTAACAATATCCTCCCAAATTTACTCCAAATCCAATCAGGAGTGCACTGGACGTTGATGTGTTGTGATCGACTACGCCGCTCCAATTCGTCATCAACCTCGGACACTACTTTGTCTACCGAGATGGCCTCTCCAAACGGAGGTATAATTATTCTACTACCCTCTAATTTCTGCATTATATCAAATTGTGTTCATGTATATTAGATAAGATCCGATTAGCAGTTGCACCGCCTCAATAGATCACTGGTAGTAAAAAACTACTCATATCATATTCGTTTATTGTACGAATGGACGGATCGAGCTAAAATTGTTATCTAAATTTTCCTAGTATATTAAATGAAAAAGGCATCTCATATCACATCATTCAGGCACGCCCTGGTACAATACAATCAGTAAGCATGAGGTCAATAGGAAGAGGAATAGAGTGCATTACGACGTCAGCGACGGTGAGAAAGTGGCGAGACGGGGAACCCATCTCGGCCTCGAGGGAGCGGATGGGATCGGCGGAGCGGCCGCAGCCGACGACGGCGTGCCCCCGGCGCGCGAGCTCCAGAGCTAAAGCTCGGCCCAGCCCCCGGCTGACCCCCGTGATGAGCACCGTCCTCGGCCCCGCAGCGGCCGCTCGCGCGGCTGCCGCGCCGCCCCCGCCGCTCTTAGGCCCCGCCGTCATCTCGCCACCCTCCTCTCGTTGGCTCGTCCGTGTTGGAATGCCGGAAAACCCTATACGACGCTCTTTGCGTCCAATTGTCGACCGAACGCACAGGGCAATACCCCGCATCGCTAGATATGGGCCGGCCCATTGTACCAGAGCTAGCCAGCCTGTTTTGGGAACCTTCTAGAAGGTTCCCAGTTTCTTTTTTTTTCTTTTTTCCGTTTTTCTGTTTCTTTTTCTTCCTTCTTTTCTGCTTTCTGTCTTTTTTGTTTCATTCAAAAATTGGTTGGAAAGTTCAAATTTTGTTCGTGTTTCTCAAAAATGTTCAAAATTTCAAAAAATGTTCGTATTTTAAAAAATTGTTCGGGCATTTCAAAATATGTTCTTGTTTTACAAAAAATGTTTGGAATGTTTTTGTTCAAATTTTCCACAATTTTAGAAAATGTTTCCATTTTCAAAAATTGTTCACAGTTTCCAAAATTTGTTCATGTTTTCATTTTTTCAGGAGTTTCAAAAAATGTTCCAGTTCAAAAATTGTTTGGGCATTTCAAAAAATGTTCTGGTTTTACAAAAAAGGAATGTTTTCGTTTAAATTTTTCACAATTTTTAAAAAGTGTTCCCGTTTTAACAAATTGTTCACAAATTCCAAAATTATTCATGTTTTTTCATTTATTCAGGAGTTTAAAAAATGCCCCTGTTTCAAACATTGTTCATAAGTTTTTATAAAATCGTGTATGCAAATTTTGTTCAGGAATTTCAAAATATTTTCACGTTTCCAAATTTTGTTTTGAAATTCGAAAAAATATTGTTGTTTTAAAAAAATGTTCAAGATTTTCAAGAAATGTTATTGTTTTTGAATAATGTTATAGTTTTTTAAAAACTTGTGAAATTTTTTGTAAAGTGTTTGCGTTTCACAGAACACTCTGTTTTAAAAAAATATTGCTTTCGAAATTCTTAAACTAATTCGACTCTGTGCGTCGTGTTCGGTTCTTTAAGCTTGATGCTACTATTTTAACCAGATACAACTACTAGGTCAGCTGGTAGGAGCACGTATTGTATAACATTGCATCATGTGTTCGAATCCCAGCAACCGCATATATCTATTTTTAGCTGCAGTGCTCGTTCGATTTCTGTTGCTGTCTTCATGGGCCGGCCCAGTGGAAGCCCTGCCTGTGCGAAGCCGTGACTTCCTGGAGGTCTCGTGGAAAGAGGCCCGTGACCTGGTGATCCCGATATTTCGCTCTTCTTCTCATGCGCACGTTCATGGGCCAATGGACGCACGTGGGGCCCGGCCCACTCCATTTGGTTGAAAGTTTTATGAAAGAAGTCCATATTTCACCCTCAAATGTGGCCTGAGGGACAAATAACCCCGTGAACTCCAATTTGGTATGATTTTGACCCTAAAATCTTTAAAACCGGGTAAATATTTCCCTAATAGGTTTTGCTACTGTTTTTAGAGAATTTAACTGGTTAGAGGATGAGTAGGTAATGACTTTTGATCGTGGCATCGCCCTGTTGCTTGCACCAGACCAAACGAGCTACTGCACCAGACGCGGTTGTTGGACGCACGTGGGGCCCGGCCCACTCCATTTGGTTGAAAGTTTTATGAAAGAAGTCCATATTTCACCCTCAAATGTGGCCTAAGGGACAAATAACCCCCTGAACTCCAATTTGGTATGATTTTGACCCCAAAATCTTTAAAACCGGGTAGATATTTTCCTAATAGGTTTTGCTACTGTTTTTAGAGAAATTAACTGGTTTTAGAGGATGAGTAGGCAATGACTTTTGATCATGGCATCGCCCTGTTGCTTGCACGAGACCAAACGAGCTACTGCACCAGACGCGGTTGTTGGTCGCTCCTTCCAGACGGAGCCGCCACCGCTCCATTAGCGCCACACGCCGCCATAGCGGCCATCACCTTTCAAAACTGTCGCCTATCAGGGGTGCGCCAGACGAGCCACTGCACCAGACCAGGCGAGCCGCTGTTGGTCGCTCCTTCCAAACAAACCGTCGCCGCTCCATTAGCGATCCAAACCACACGCCACTGTAGCGGCCGCCACCATTCAAATCCGCCGATGTTCGGGGTTGCTCTCGGCCGTGGCGCATCAACACTGCTCACCTCCATTCAGTTCAAGGTGAGTTTGTTGTTGTTTCTGTTCTAGCTGCCCATCCAAGGTGAGGGAGAACCTGATCAAGATGATCCAAAGGATCCCCTTCATGACCTAAAAAACAGGAAACTTCATCAGCTTTCGATAATGCAGATCATCGGTATTGTATAGTATTTCCTTCTCTTTCCACACTTCTGTTTTTTTTTCTTTTAGCATTGCAGCCTCTACCTTGTGAGAGATGAAGTAAACTAGTTGTACAAAGACTTATCTACTATGTATATTATTGAACACGTAAATGAAGTTTCTGAAGTACAAAGAATGTAATTTCTATTATGCAATTGAAGTACAGAAAAATACTTTTGCAGTGAATATGTAGTGAAACCCAACTGATTCACCCGCTCTCATCCTCCCGATCAAGTAAACGAGCAGTAAACGACGACGGCTGATGGGCAAGTGAATTGGAAGAACTTTTTTTTGCGAATACGCAAGATGTGTATCTTTCCATTGATAGAAGAAGAGTACAAGCATGGGGTTACAATGCTTACAAGGCCATGTACACACTAGGCATGGTGTACAAGCGAAGGAGCACAACAGACGGGGGTATGCTCAGCCCCTCGACAGAAACTAGAGACTAAGCACCAGGGATAATGTTGTGAAGTCCGGTGGCGCCCGCCTTGGCCCAGAGGCGCGCCTCGTCCTTGATGGTATCGGAGGTGAAGGTGATCGATGGTGTAGCTCCATAAAAAATGCAAGCGTTTCGGTGCTTCCAAATCCACCAAGCTGGCAGAATGATGAGGGAGGATAGACCCTTGCGCATGGATGCCGGCGCAAAGGTCGAGAGAGGATCTTCACCAGAGCTGAAATAGCGTGTCAGGGGCGGGGGGGGCGATGGGCACACATACCCAACCGAGGATCTCGTGCCAAACTTGGCGATAGAAAGAGCAGCCGGCAAGGAGATGGTGCATGGTCTCCTCCTCTTGGTCGCAAAGGGCACATGTATTGTCATGGGGCAGTCCGCGGCGTGCGAGGCGCTCCACGGTCCAGCATGGCCAGCCAGAGGAAAAACTTGACGCGGAGAGGAGCCCAAGGTCGCCAAGTGAGCCGCCAGAATGGGTCTTCACAAGCTCCAATGAATAGAGCCCTGTAGCAGGAACTTGTTGTGTATGTAGCGGAAGAAGTCCAACGCCAACGTAGTGTAAGTGCATCTAGTGCCCCTTAGTGATTTTGGTGTATTGAAGACTTATAGGTTAAGGGACTAATGCGTTTGTGAGTGTACACATGTCTATAAGTCAATGAGGAGTTTGATCTTTACAGAGAAAGTCGACCCCTAAAAATGAAGTTCTTTGACTGAAGACTTTAAATCTCTGAAGACTTTCTGAAGACTTTGAAAGTGAAGAAATTGGTGTGACCTTGAAGACTTGGTATTCATTCGAGGAACATGAAGCGTGAAGACTTTTGTTTTCGTAGTTTCATTTTCTCTTTCTTGAGTCATAGGAAACATCGTACTATTAAAGGGGGTCGAGGAAATACTAAGGAAAAATTTCCATGTGATGCTCAACTCAAAATCCTACACCTATCAATCCCTTCGAGTGAAGCCATTGGAAATCTCATACAGTCCAGTCATATTCTTCAGCGACAGAGACGAAGTTCTTCTGGTCTCTGAGGAATTTTTTCTGACTAAGGAGTTAGGAATTCGCCAGTGCGAATTTCCTACACAGTGAGGAATATGATAGCCCTGAGGATTTTGCTACTCAAAATTCCGACCGTTGCTGTGCTATGCGCCAGCTGTCCCAAAATATCTATCCATCTAACGGTCATATCATTGAAGGGCATTTATGTCTTATCATGTCGGGCTGCTCCCTAGGCTATAAATAGCCGCCCCCTACAACCACTAGCTGGTTGGCTGCTCCGAGAGAAACTGACACTTGTCATTTGAGAGCAACCCATCCTCCGAGGACTTTGAGCGAAAATCATCAAGTGAGGAAAAACCCAAACCCAAACACCTACAAACCCCAAGTGATTGAGCATCACTGAAGAGATTGATCCTGCATGGACCGACGCTTGTTACCTTTGAAGACTGTGCTTCTTCTAGACGGTTAGGCGTCATGGTCTAGAGCATCCAAGAGGAATTGTGCATCGCCGAGTGACCAAGTTTGTGAAGGTTCGGAAGTCACCTTATGTGAAGAATTTCTCTGCTTACTCTTATGCTTACTCTAACCCCTCTTATGTGAAACGAAATGGACTGGCTTCTATGCCATCCTTCTCGTATGGAGCTCGCGGAATGATGAACTCTTTGCCACCCCTTCAGATGTGGGTGGTGAAGAAAAAGAACTAATCTCTTCTACAGGGTCAGGTCTCCAGACGTACGTAATCGTCTGAAGAATTTGCTGGATACCTGAGCATGCGTGATAGGATGCAGGCTAATCATGAAGAAATGAACCTTCATTTCTCACGTCCTCATATTGTTGTATCTGTTCTTTTGTTTGATGAAATTGATCTGATGAATTGATGTCATATTCTTCACTGATGAAGTATATGAGTTTGTAAGCTGCACTAATTCATCTGCAGGATGATCAACCCAAAGCCACTGAGTGGGTCCTCAATAGTGGATGTGTAAGTGCATCTAGTGCCACCCCTAGTTGGTTTTGGAGTATTGACGACAAACCTAGTTGAGGGACTAATGTGTTTGTGAGAATTGCAGGATAACACAGGTAGAAGTCCCTCATTGATTCGGTTTTCCTACCAGAGATGACCCCTAAAAATGTATGAAGACAATGAAGTCAAAGGTGGTATGTGAAGACATTCACATTGAAGACTATGACAAGAGAAGACAACGCATGAAGACTATGGAGCGTGAAGACTTAGATCTTCCGTAGTTCTTTTTTCTTCTTTGTTGAGTCATAGGAACCA